ATTAACACGGGCATGCATGAAATGACTGATAGCAGTGGAGTAGGCGATATGGGTTTGTCAAGAGAGTAGTGAGTGGGAGAAAAGCGTGACGGTGTGCATGTAGACTTTTTTCAGATGGAGAATACTATAACTAATATCCAATTCAATAAAAGTAGTAGTTCCTAAATTGTTCTGTACTTAAAAATCAGTAATTTTTCAGGTGGATTTGTCGCATGTGACCAATTGACATGTAACGGTGAGGGGTTTATTATTTAATGAAGCGCCAGCGCAGTGGTTGCGTTACGTGAATAATTATACGGCACCCTCATTACTTATTCGTGTGAAATATAGAATATTGTAATTGATAGACATGACCAGGTTTTTTGGCTAGTTTCTGGCCCTGTACTCTCGGTTTCCGTCTCGACTAAATTAAAATACGTATGATGCGAATGAAGCTTCGTACGTAACTTTGGGGTTTAACTTGGTCAAGTATTACTTAATAGTAATTGTTTTGGACGGATGTCGGACGAAGAATGACGATCCGAAATGTCATAGGGTTCATTTTGTCTCTAGTCAATGATATTATAGCTCACTGTCTCTAGGTGAACAAGCGATATTAGTATTTTTTCAGATTGCAATCGGACTTAGTGCACAAGCGACCTTCGGAAGCGTGTCTGAGTTTTCTAGATTTGTATAAAGATTCTGAACGAATACGAATCGGTTGTGTTGCGTAACCGCGCTAACAAGTAATTTTTTTTTCTTCTTAAAATTAGAAAATAAATTCCACTATTTGAGAAAACGATGTCTTGAACAACACAAAAGTAGTAATAGTGAAAAAAGAGAGAGCACCAAATTTAAGTCTCAGGCGGCAGCAATCAACGCTATGTCACTGCCACGGATGTCAATTCTATAGGCTTCAAAAGCCCACCTCCCCTGAATTGCTTTTAAATCAAACAACAATAATTACTGCAAGCTTGTGTAACATTGCTATCTGTTGGTGCAACAACACGGTCAACGGCTGTCAAGCCGGCAATATTTATAGTTACATTACAATAGCGTCGTACGTCCCACTGCCGGGCGCGGGTCTTTTCTAGGGAGAGGTTACCTATTTCTGCCGTCAAGCAGTTATATGAGCATTGTTGCGTTTCAATTTTTGAAGGGTAAGGGCGCAGTGACAGTGCCTCTTATCTTTGTGATTTAAAGCGGCACTGGCGCACTGCAACGGTTATGGACGTCTCTCGTCACTTGGTATCGTATTTCCTGAGCGGACGCTTGTGTCCACCTGGGCGCTCATTGTTACGTCAGTTCTTGTTTAATGTCTTAATCAGCAATCGGTATAGGCCAACGATGTCATGCACTAGCGTACTAAATGTGTTTCACTGATGTGCGGTTCTAGCAAAAGACTTAATTTAGTTGGTTGTCAAACATTCAAGGTGGCGGACGCAGATGCGGTCCTCTTTGAAAATTAATTAAATTTATTTTGTACATTCAATTTATTATAGACTTTGTATGTATTAATGTATCAACATTACTTAATATATATACATTCGTATGTACATTTGATTTATTAAATTTATCTGTGTATTTATGAGTATAGTATATTTCATTTCTTTACTTATCTATTTTTAGTGCCACCCCAAAAACCAACTTTCCTCTCAGATTTTCAAAGGTTAGTTGGAAGAAATCTCTTTATGGGATAAGCTCGCCTTTGTACACAAATATTTAAATTGTTTCTGAAAATTTGTAAGTTACTTTGTGGTACAATAAAGTGTTTAAATAAATAAATAAAATAAATCGGTGTGTTGTTCTTATATTTCGCTAATTGACTAATTGTGTGAACATAAATTATATTAATACAAATTTTCATAAATATACAGGTAAGGTACAATAAAAGCTTCAATACTAGAAAATAGGACTAGGATTAAACAATATGAATAAAATTGGACCCCGCGGCAAGGTGCCCAAGGTGCTGGCAGCGTTCTCCCTTTGTATTGCTATGGTAAAGCGTTGGGCAAGGTAACTTGGGTTTCCCAGACAGTCTATTGATTTTTGGATAAAATTGAGATAACTTATTGATATTTTTGGCTTGGTATTTCGATTATAGGAGTATAATCGAGCTACCAAGCCAAATGTACGTGAAAGCGTGGTAACTGGGCGGCCACCGCGCGAAAACCTTCCCATCGTGTAACTGGGCGCTTAGGGTGCAATGATTCATTTAGTCATTTGCACAGTATATTATCTCAGCTCCTTTGAATTTTGTGGTCGGACGGAGAATTTTCATTGGGGTTAGCCTGGTTCCAGGCGTTTCTGGACTCAATAAACCACGTCACCTCGCAGTTTGTTGACGGATACCTTAGGATACTGCCTACATATAAATACAAAAACCGAACACTAAGAATTGGTTTATTGATTATACCCAAATGGAAACGGTAACTTTTTTTTTAATTTGAGTTTATGCAAGTAGTAATAAGCATTTTAAACGAAATAATTATATAGCTTTTGTTAACATTTATTTGACCGAAAAATGTTTCTTTAAGCTATTTAAAAAGGCAGTTTTGGCCTCTAAAAGCTTGAGTACCGCTGTTAAAATCGCGGTTATTGCATTAGGGTCGTTATTGTTAAGTGATAGCGGGCACTATTCAAGTAATTGTCATGCCGTGCTACATCTGATAAAGTATTGCGCCGGAGCTCGGAGTCGTGACGGTAATCGGGACAAACACGGGATATTGCTATTTCAATGTGACACGAAAACTGGAAATCAGTTTGTTTATTTGGATTTATAATTATTGTAATTATTTGTGGGTAGCTACTCAGCCGACAAAGCGTTTATTACATTAAGGTTACTTCCTTAAATGACGAGTGTAGAGTTAGTACTTTCTCTCGGGTCCATTTAACTGTTTGCCGATTTGAATACTAGTCTCTAAGGGTCGTATTCTAGAACTCTACTCAATGCTCAAGTAAGGATTTGAGTATAGTTTAAAGCACTTGATATCATACTCAAGTCCCTGCCATTAGGGTCGTATTTCCAGTGCTTGTGTTTCCGGTGCAATCCTGATTTGAGCATTGAATAGACTTCTAGAATACGACCCTTAGACTCAAAGACGATTTCAAATAAGCTGTTATTCCTTTGGTAAATTTTGCACTTCTAAGTGTAATTTTTTTTTAAGCTACTGCTGGAAGAACGAGCAAAAGACTCTCGGAATTGCACTTTCCAAATAAACTTGAAAGGGTTGTAACCCTAACTAGCCGTGAACAGGTTCACGGCAATGAAATGGGAAACTTCCGGTCCACAAAATTTATTAAAGAAGTAAAGTTTAAAGAAAGGCTGTAACAATATAAAGGTAAATGTAAAAAAACAGATATAACAGTATAAAACACTCCCTACACTTTATTATTAAGGCACTTACCCCTAAATGGGCCGAGAAACTGAATTACCGAAATAGATACATAAAGGCTGTAGACTTATAAATTATTACACATGATTAGCTTATTAACAGCTCCGACTGTCGTGGCGGTCGAGCTGGGAGTGACCGTGGTACGAAAACAAGATGAGAAAGAGAAGGAAGATGGAAAAATTCAAATTTAAAATTTAAATACATGTAAAATAAAAAATTATAGGATACAAGCGGAGAGAGGCCTCTGTGTGCCTCCGTGGCCGAACGGTTACCATGCCGGACTGCCACGCAGAGGTCCCAGGTTCGATTCCCGGGCCGGGAGAAATATTTGTATGGCCTACATTTATTTCTCTCGTGAGTTTGGGTGTAATTTGTGGTTGTCTATTTGTGTGTCCATGGCACCCGCGACACAGGGTTTCCCTAGTGCGGGGCTATGTTGATTGTGAGCGTTATCAATTATCAATAGATAGAGGCGATACAAAGAGGTGAGATAACGGTGTAAGGAGATCACACCGTCACAAACTTAAACGCTATACAATACAGTTTGGACCATATTTGTATGGAATCTAGACTTATGTCGTTTTTCCATATATCTTTATCTAACATGTAGTCTTCAATTTTGTAATACGACTTTTCAATGAAAAAAGAATGATGATCTTAATATATGCTCCGAAATCTTATCGTAAAAACGTATACAGTTCCTCATAATGGAATCGTTTACATTAGTTAAATTACTAAAATACCCAATGGCTCAAATAATAAACAAATACCATACTTAATATTGATACAAAAACACAGCAAAATTTCCTTCGATTAGGTTGGACTCAAACCAGAGAAACCTCATGAAGCTTCTCAGAGGTGGCGCCACGGCAAGAAAGCCGTTAAAATCGAATACCTACACAGATCTGCAACGAACACAGAGAAATTCGGAAGGTCTGCTGACACGTTCTGTAGCTCAGTTGGGAGAGCGACCCGGTTTGGCAAGGTCGCTGGTTTGAGTCTAGTCATATCGGAAGAATTCATCTTTGTGTTTGTACGATCTTTGTATTAATAAAAAGAACATAAGTATGTTCTTTTTATTAATACAAACAAGTGTAGAGTATCTTATAAAAATAAATGAATATCACGATGGTAGCAACATTATGATATTCTAATAATCACAGTACAGAGTACTAAAAAAACCGATCTCAAAAGTACATGGAATTACATCTATTTGCCAAGTTTTATTGAAATATCGTCTAGTTCGCCACTATACGGGACTAGACACAGAAGATAATTATTTTATTCATTTTTATGGACAACTCACGCTTTCCCAGAAAATTATTTATGCCGAAATTCTTTCGCAAAAGTATATTTAATGGGCCCTAACACAGTTTCCTTGTATTTTATATGGTTTCGGATTTTCTCTCTGTATATTGATTGATGATGAACTACTTTAAACTGCCTCCGTGGCCGAACGGTTACCATGCCGGACTGCTATGCAGAGGTCCCAGGTTCGATTCCCGGGCCAGGAGAAATATTTGTACGGCCTCCATTTATTTCTCTTGTGAGTTTCTCACACAGGGTTTCTCTAGTGCGGGGCTATGTTGAGGCGTTATTATTAATGTGTACTTTATTGTTCCACAGGCATGTTCCTGGCCGTGTCGCGACGCTGTCCCAAGACGCGAGGAGTCATGTTGGAGCGCACTGGTGCCCAAGGTTGAACTTGAGGACCAACGTGAACCCTGGCGCCTACCTGACCTGCAGCCGCCACTGCACTATATGCACCCACGAGGTAACACTTTTTATCACCACTGGAATTGCCTAGTAACATGTCCCTTACTTAGCTTCATCTTAGATGTTGTACGAATTATGATCAAAAGTGCGTACCTCGTGGAACCTTAAGTTCAAAGTTACTGTAACAGACGACTTGGGACGATTGGACTTGCCCCTCTTAGCAACTACACCTTCACGTACTAACCTATACCGATACTAGCCCCTTCCTCGCGAGACTACACTCAGCAGCATCGACACAGTGCGATCTGTGACAGGGATAGCGAAACTGATGACCTAATGGAAGAAAGTTTTGGAAAGAAGTCAGGATGGTTATTAGCTAATCATTAATGTTAGTTTAAATATTGTTATTTTTTTTATTGTTGTAACGCCATAGTGCATACTGTTATATTACCCTTTTTTACTGAATAAATAAATAAATGAATTATCAGTACTGTATAGGACATAGGAACATCGTTTACAAATAATGCAATGATTTTTTATTTTATAATATCAAGTGACGGGACGAACAAGCCTGGTGGTCAGCTACACGCCTATCCATAACAGTTGTAGTGCCACTCAGAGCTGTAAATCGCAAAGATTCACTAGATTCACAAGTCACCTTGAGACATAGCTTGACAAGTCTCATGTGCCTGTAATTTCAGTAGCACCCTTACCCTTCAAAACCAGAACGCAGTAATGCTGCTAAATTACCTACTGCTTGGCGGCAGAAATAGGAAGGTGGCACTACTTCCCTCGACGAACTCTTTCACAAGGAGTTCTACTGCTACTAAGTTGAGTTGAGCAGTGTCTTTAATTCAAATAAAAAATGTATTATTTTACTTAACATTTCCGGGATTTGCAAGCTGATAATCAAGTTTTTTTAATTGTATGTGTCCGTCCATGCGTGCATCACCGGCAGATAACAACACACTAATTATTCGGATTTACTTTGCACTACACAAAGCATAAAATAAATGTTGGTAGCCACACAAAAATCAACCACTCACACATTCACGATTCAAAAGCGCCTAACATTTAAAAACGAGAATGAACTCACGTGTCGGTTGCTCGATTTAATTGAGCAGACGTATTTACAGCTAATTGGTAAAAGCCCAGCGAATCGTCGCCGCAATTATTTGCGGATTAGATCCGCTGCCTAGAAACGGCAAATCAATAGGTACTAAGAGGAAATTTCGGCGAACTTTGCCATCGTTTATTTACAAATTACAAGTAGTAAACTTTTGTTATCTGTTTATGAAAAATATATGAAAATATAGAGTAGAAATTCCTAAACAAATTTTGTTTTGGGTTTACAGTTCTGAGAAGTGAGGAATTAAAGATTTTTCCAGTTTGAAGATTTGGAGGTTATGTGTTATATAATTAAATAAAATGTATTCAGTGTATTATTATATCAAAATAAACAACAGAAGCCTTAAACAGAGTTAATACA